AGAAAACTAGCCACTGTTTTTTATCGCAATGAAGTATTTTTCAAGTAAGTCAAAGAAAATTATTTTATTTGAACGTTTGTGGTTTATAGATAAAACATTATTAATGAAAGCCAAACATATTTTGATCAAATCGATTTTCCTTGAAGCCTAACTTTTCTACATTTTGGGGATTGAACGTTATTCTCCGAGAAAGCGAAGACACTGTTTTAATATATATATATATATATATATATATATATGATTTTACTGCTTATTTCTTTCTTTGAATGGTAATGATAAGATTAGCTGTTTCCTTATGTGGAAATATTTGGCATTCATTTACCGAACAGACTGCTGATACTGCTGGTTGAAACTGACAAAATATTTCTTTTTTTAGGAAAAAAAAGAAATTACTCAAATTCTACGTAAAGGATTTCGAACACTGTCAAGGTTGGAAATTAATCTCCAGTCGTGATATGGTAGCAATATTCCATTTTATTTTCTTCAATAAAACCATTTGAAGAATTTAATATAGTGTTCAATAAATAGAATTTTGAAAATATAAACAAAAATGTCCTTCAGTTTTACTTTGACCACCCATAAATTGTGCATTCAGATCTGAGAGGATAGAGACAGTGAGATAATAGAGAGAGAGGAAAGATAAATAAAGTTAAATAGACAGAAAGAGATAGAACGTTATATATATATATATATATATATATATATATATATATATATATAAATATTTAATGTAAAACAGACCACTTTAAGGTACCATTACAATAATTTATTTCACCAAAATCCTTTTAAAAGACACCGGATCATCAGGTAACATTTAAATTTATATATATATATATATATATATATATATATATAGAGAGAGAGAGAGAGAGAGAGAGGGAGGGAGAGAGAGGGAGAGAGAGACATAGATAGATAGATAGATAGATAGATAGATAGATAGATAGATAGATAGATAGATAGATAGATGTAAACAGACTGAGAGAGAAAGATAGATATATATGTATATACAGACTGAGACAGATAGATATTAACAGACTGAGATAAATAGATAGATAGAGAGAGGGGGATGTAAAAAGACTGAAATAGATAGATAGATAGATAGATAGATAGATAGATGTAAACAGACTTCTTCTTCATCTTATTCTTCTCCTTTTCCTTCTTCTTCTTTTTCTACTACTTCTTCTTCTTCATCTTCTTCTTCTTCTTCTCCTTCTTCTACTACTTCTTCTTTTTCTTCTTCTTCTTCTTCATCTTATTCTTCTCCTTCTTCTTCTTCTTCTTCTTCTTCTTCTTCTTCTTCTATGTGCCATGTACTTTCAGGATGTGGATATTCATGACTCTTCTCAACTTCATATCCTTTGAAGATCTTGACAACGTTTGTCCCTTTGCCAAGGCCCCAATCACCACCACCACCCACTACTCCATAGCGCCATTCATTCACCCGACCTCGTCATGTATTTGTCCCTCTGCCTTTCAGTTTCCCTTTTGCTGCCGTTATGTCCTTTGATAAATTCTACAAACCTTCGCTTCAAATAATGTCTCCAAGAAATTTTGATCTGGAGTATAAGCGTTCTCTCTTTTTTTAATTTAGTTTAGATTTATGGAAATCAAAATGCTAGTGTTTTGGCTGTTGAAAAAAAAATTCGAATGACGTATGTTTTTGAGAAAAGGGAAAGCTGTCTTTTGGGTTGTGCCTCTTTCATTTTCTTTTAATTTAGCCTTTCGAGTCATCTGCGAGGTCGGTCCGAAACGTATAAAGTTGAACGAAAACGGTTTACTAGTAATGTTTAATTCCCATAGATTCAGACCATCTTGCAGATAGATTTCAAAGCGACTTTAACCTCTCCACCTTATTTTAACGCAAAGTAGGGGTTGTTTTCTCTGTGTTGTAAAATCCCAGGTTTATTCTTTTTCGGGCAAGACATGATTGATAGCAGCCATAACTCCGAATGATTAAATCTCATCCCTGATATGTATCAAGATATTTAAGGATAATGAAAAATTCCCGTTTACAATGACAATGCTGATTTTCGAGCCGACTTTGTTTTTAACAGGAGTCTGAAGTGTGCCAACCATAAAAGGGACAACATTGTCTTATTTTTTCGTCATGTCGACTAACTCGTTTGATATCAGGTGCAAGCAGGTAAAGGGACATGCCGAAATTATGTGCAATGTCATGAGCAATTTTGACTGTTGTTCGTTCTCTATCAAAGTGGGTAGAAAGTTGATAGATAGGCAGGATAGCGTTTGCTGTTGTTTAAAAAAAATGGCACGAAACTATTGATACTATGGTCGCAATAAAAAGGCCCGACTGTTGCGAATTCGGCACATGAACATCGAACTGGCGTGAATCGTACCGTGAGAACGCTTGCTATACGAGAAAGACGACAAGTTTCTGTTCCGAATTCACAACTGTCTGGTGTTTTATCACGACTGAAGTTGTGACCAATTTGTTTAACGTCTCTTGTTTGCGGTGGTTCACACAAACTTTTAAATACAACCTATTTCAGAAATTTATCTCAGTGGAGGATAAATCTAATCTCCATCTCACATCGGAGTTTGACGGTACAGATCCACAAGTCCGTTGTCAAATGGTTCGAAAAGTCAGAGTTGCTATGCCGTCTGAGTGGGACTAAAAAGACGGAATACGTACATCCCATGCGTCATGCAGGCAGTGCATTTGCAGTGTACTAGCGACTGAGCGAACAAAAAATGGCCAATTCCTCTAGCACATGGGTTCACAACCTTTTTGTCTCATGGCCCACTTTCGCATGGAAAAACTTTCAAACCACCCACCTATAATGGAAATATTCAAAACAATAACAAAATTGTTTGGTAAAAAGTTTGTTACTGGTTCGTAAACTGACTTCAGTATGTAGTTAAAAAACATCAATGGGCGGTAAATAAATAACGCTGATTTATGCGACTACTGCAGCTGGTCCTACTACAGTATTAAAGAGCAAACGAAAGCAAACTTGACCGTTGAAAATTATATATATATATATATATATATATATATATATATATATATATATATATATATTAATGCATGTTTCAATAAAAATTTAAACAAGTTTTGTCTATTTATTTTAAGTAAGTCCCTTTCATATTGTCTGGTAAGCTTTATAACATTATCATTGAAAGAGGAAAGGAAATCATCTTATTGATACCTGTTTAAATCCAATATAAGCTTTCGGCTTATAAAAGCCATTATCAAAGATGACGATTACTTTTCAATATATCAACCAAAACACGGACGAAACAATAATGATAGTCTGTTTTTGTTGCATGAAAATTTTTAAAGCAACGACTAACTCGTGTATACGAGACGCGGAAGCGAAAATGACGTCGCAGCTCATGACGTCACACATGACCACGCGAGAGTGAAAACGAGTTACTCCGTTTCTATGCCAAGTTTGTAGAAAATTATACTAATAAAGCATCCAGTAACTAGTTATCAACATTAATGATAAGAGACTATTGAGTTACAAGTATTGAACATAACTTTGCAAGTCATGTTAGGTTATACTATGACTGGATGATGTCACATATGTGTAATGTGTACACGTGTTTATTTCGAGAGTACATAAAGTCTTGACCATATGTATCATCCATAATACATTTTGTTACGCGTTCTTTTTGAATTTGAAGCTTCATAAAAATTGAAATAATGTCCCTATTTTTCTGAGGACTATCAAAAGTTTTGCTCGGATTACCAGTATTCCGTAGACCACCAGTGTTCCGTGGACCACCAGTTGGCGAACACTGCTCTATAGTTTGTTCCACAAAGTGCTCATTTTGGAGAAAAAAGCTGGCTCATTAGAACTTAGTCTTTACAAAAGGAGAATGAAATGAACAGGGCCTAATTGGTGCCGTTAATATGGCATGGCGGATCCTAGCTGTGGATGTCTGAACTAGTGGGACTAAGAAATGTAACTCGTTAAAACATTTACCATAGCGACAGCGATACATTACTGAGAGGATAGCAATGATTTGTCTGTGGTATAGGGGTTGCTAGATGAAAAATGATTAATAACCTTTAAGGCCACGGGAAATCTTTTGAACTCTCTCAAGGCTCAATAGCGACGACTGAGCAGCACCAAGCCAAATAACTCTTGTAAAGATACTATATACCAGCAGGGGTCAGGTATTTTCTGGAACGATCCAAGAAACCGATCATTCTTCCAGCTTCTTCAGGAGTCATATTTGAATATATGGGCTATATTTGAGGTCTGGAGTGTGCCTAAGACCTCATAGTTCTTCGAGCGTAGAGCCTCATTAAGAGTATAATCACTCATCAGGATTGGATAAAAATTGGGAACTGCTCAGTAGCAACGAAACTTTACCAGGTCTCTTTGAACTGTGAGATATAAATCAGCGAAAAAATCAAATACCAAGCGCTAGTCATCCAGATACTTAAACGTCCATCCATATTCTGTGGTATAATATGCATATATATTTATTACGTATCTGAGAATGTTTCAGGGCCGATCATTAATATAAAGCAGAGAGGACAGGTGAGAAAATTTTGGGGACGCCAGCATTGATCTCATGAGCCTCAGAGGACTGGCCATTAAAAGCTATCTTAAGGGATCTACTAGATAGAAAAATATGATAACGGTGAAGACTCTCCCAGAAATTCCATAGTTAGTAAGTTTATGTAACACTCCTATATGCAACAACTTGCCAAAGTCGTACGAGATATCTAAGGAAATCACTCGCGAAATGAGTTTATCAGGCGCTTAACCGATGCCATACGTGATGAATGTTAACATCAGCAGTAGAACTAGAGAAGCGAAAACGATACTGTTTGTCGTTGAATAGATTGTTTCAGCTGAGGTGATCAACAACTTTCTTGTTAATGATGGCTTCAAAACGTTTGAATGTGGTTGATGGGACGGTATTTTGAAGGAGTCGAGTGATGAACTGTATTCTTGTACATACGACAAACACTAGAAAGCATTCTTTGGCGTGGGAAACATGTCACCCAGAGGGAGCTGTTAAACACATTTGCCAAGTATAGAGATATTTCTGCGTGAAAAGAAAAACGAAGAAGCAGAAAAATGACCGAATGAGCGAGAAAGAAAAAGAACGAAAAGCAAGCTAAAAAGAAGGAAAATAAAAAAAACAAAAAAAACAAGGACATTAAAATGTAATAAAATGGCAAGAAAGCAAAACGCGTAAAAGTCAAAAAGAAATGAAAATAGAAGACAGATAAATATGTGCATTTGAAGATACAAGTGAATATACGGGTAAATATACGGGTGATATACAGGTAAATACACAGGTGGTATACAGGTGAATATTCGGGTGATATACGGGTGAATATACGGGTAAATATACGGCTGGTATACGAGTGACTATACGAGATATATAGGGATGAATAGTCGGGTGATAAACTGGTGAATATTCGATTGATATACGGGTGAATAACCGGGTGGTGTGCGGGTGAATATTCGGGTTATATAGAGGTGATATACGATTGATATACGGGTGAATATCCAGGTAAATATTCATTGGCGTAAGAAACAAGTCATCTTGAGACATCAGTTAAAGACATTTGCCAAGTTTAGAGATATTTCTGTGAGGAAGCCAAAATGAAGAAGCAAGAACAAATGGCCGAATGAACGAAAAATAAAAAAATAAAAAGAAAGAAAACAAAAAAAAGAAAGAAAGCAATGAAATTAAAATTTAATAAAATGGCAAGAAAGCAAAAGGCGCAAAAGTCATAAAGTAATGTAAATAAAAGATATATAAAAATATGCTGTTGAGGATACAAGTGAATATACGGGTGAATATACGGGTTAATATACGGATGGTATACGAGTGGTATAGGGGTAAATATAGAGGTGAATATTCGGGTGAATATATGGGTGATTATTCGGGTGAGTATAGAGGTGAATATACAGGTAAATATTCGAGTGAATATTCGGGTGATTATTCGGGTGAATACACTGACAGGAAACTGATAGGCAGATATAATTAATGAAAACCGTAAAGCGGAACAGAAAAGCTAAAAATACTGAACAATGGAGAAACAATAAGAAAATGAGAGAAAAGAAAAATATTTTTAAAAAAAAGAGTAAAGAGACGATGAAAGGATGCCATAAATAAATGAAGTCGCAGAATAAGAAAGACTAAATGGCAAAAAGAAGGTCACAACGACAAAGCAAGAAATGTGACTGAAAAGCGAAAAGAAAGAAAGAAAAAACAAATGAACGAAAAAATATAAAGGAAGATAAGAAGAAAGGAAGAATATTAAAGCACACAAAAAAACTAAAAACGGGTCGGGTATATATATATATATGTAAGCAAATATATGGATATAAATCCGATAGCATGAAGAAAACTATATGGAAAAACAAAAATCGAATATGCAAATATATGTTTTTTAATGTTGTTTCATTCGAAAACATACGTTTTCATTCTAGACGATATTTCTTAACATATGTCCTGAAGAAGGTCTACTAGACTTAAAAGTCTGACGTCGACATTGAAATAACATTAAAACAGCATATTTGCATATTCGGATTTTTGTTTTTCCATATATTTTTCTTCATATATATATATATATATATATATATATATATTCACTTCTGATTGATTGAAGGATTTGTTTTTTACGGCTTATCAACCCTTTGTGGATTATTTAAAGACGGGTATCGTTCGGGATTGTTAGAAGTCGATGACAGTACCCGGTGTTTCCAGGCGTTCTAATATACAGATTTAAAGCAATGGTCTTACTCTAAAATAAAAAAGAGCATATCCATCACCTCCTCTTCTCTTTAAGACCTGATTAATTTTTCAGCTGACTGACGGCTGTCTTGATGCCTGACAAATGTGCTCGTTCAGGTCAGAAGTATTGACCTTTGGAGCCCAAAGAGTGTGAGAACTGTAAATTCTCGTCCAAGGTTTTATCTGTCTGACATCATTCTTAAATACGCGCGAAGGTTTTTCTTTATTTCGACATAAAATACCGAAATGGTGTCAATAAAGAAAAAGGGCAAACAAAAACGGTAAAGGATAGAGGATTTGGTTAATGGAATCCTCCCAAGACTAAAAGAAAATAAACTTCTACTCGATTCTGACATCTCACATCGGTTGTTGGCCACGATCACAACCCCAGAAGAAATAGTGAATGGGGTTGCAGTCAAGTGAGGAAGGCGGCCACAAGTCCGGCGACCAGTGGTGAGGAACGTTGTTGAGCAGCCACGCCTGGGTCGTCTTGGCCTTGTGTGCAGCGAGGGGACGTCATGCCGCCGTTATTCTTTCAAAAGGGCCTGAGAGTCACCGCTGAGATCTATCGGGAGGTGCTGAGGAGCGTGGTGAAGCCCTGGATAGACAAGATCGCCGCCGGACGCCCCTACGTCTTCCAGCAGGACTCTGCTCCTGCACACAAGGCCAAGACGACCCAGGCGTGGCCGATCAACAATGTTCCTCACCACTGGTCGCCGGACTTGGGGTCACCCTCCTCACCCGACTGAACCCCCTTGACTATTTCTTCTGGGGCGTGATTTAGGCCAAGACCAACATGCACGCCCACAACACGGTTGACTCGCTGAAGGCTGCCATCGTTGAGGCGTCTCACCTTGAGATGGTCGTTGCCGCCAGTGGCGGTTACATTGAAAAATAATGTAGTATGTAACTCTAACTGTTGCTAAATAAACTGCCGGGTCTCTGCATATAAAAACTGTTGTTTTTATTGCCTATTTCGATTTCCTTTTGTCAAGTGTCGGATTTTGCTGCAAAACCTTCTATAAATGGTAAAAGTAATTTTTAAAGCCGTTTTTTTTAGCTAAATTCTCCCATCTTCCTGATTTCTGTTCTTTTATTATTTCTCTATTTACATTGTTCTGTCTTTAATGTCATAATAACAAGGCTTCGGCCGTCGTACGATCGATCGAGCTGTTAGAGTTAGGTCAGGTTCAAGATCAGCTGAAAGGCTTTCGTAATAGAGATAGATTCTGTAAAAGTTTATTTACAATATCACAGTTTTTCCACCATGTATCTCTTAGAGTAAGCCCTGGTTCAAGATCAGCTAAAAGGCTTTGATATTAAAGATAGATTCTGTAATATTTTATTTACAATATCCTAGGTTTTCCTCCATGGATCTCTTAGAGTAAGACCTGGTTCAGGATCAGCTGAAAGGCTTTGATTATGGAGATAGCGTCTGTAATTTATTTTTTTACAATATTCCAGTTTTTCCTCCATGGAGCTCTCAGAGTAAGACCTGGTTCAGGATCAGCTGAAAGGCTTTGATAATAGAGAAGGTTTATGTTAAGATGTGTTCACAATATTACGATATTTCTCCTCGTGCTCGTGGAGCACGATCAGGTTGAAGATTTTACCCCCATCGATTTCTTAGGGAAAGAATCAGTTTCAAGATCATCTCAAAGGCTCTTGATATATATATATATATTTATATATATATATATATATATATATATATATATATATATATATATATATATATATATATATATATTATAGACAAATAAATTTACTCGCTACAAAGATGCAACTTCGTTTCGCTTCATTTAATTGCACGTTACCATCACCTTAATACCTCAACAATTCTTCACCAAACTGCTGTCAACAAACTATATTGTTTCACTCTGTCACGCTTTTACTTTTCCTCCATCCTCTGTATAACAATAAACTACATCCACGTCCTAGGAAAGACGATAAACTAAGAAAATAAATAAATCAAGGCCTCTGATCAGGAGGTTTTGAAGAGCGTGGAACCACCTCTTAGTTACTGGTTATCCCAGGTCCACCCTGACCCGGGGTAGTAGCACCTGATAGGGTCCCAACTATAGGTAAATAGTTAACCCTCCAAAATCGCGACAAAACACTATGAAACTGTAAAAATAGGTTTTAATACCAGAAATATTTGTAAAAAAAAAAATAAAGAAAATTATTACCAATAATACATCAATACATTTTTTAGAAAAAAAAAACAAAACAGAAATACTTCCAATATATATTACCAGCAATAAATATTCGAAAAAATACTACCAGCGATACGTATTTCAGGAAAAAATATTACCAGAAATAGAATTTGTAGAAAGAATATTACCAGAAACTGATTTTTGAAAAAAAAAATTGCCAACAATAAAAATTTTGTCAGCATTAAATAAGCCATTCAGTTTGATATGCCGTGAAACGAAACGAAACGAAACGAAACGAAACGAAACGAAACGAAACGAAACGAAACGAAACGAAACGAAACGAAACGAAACGAAACTTTTGCTTTTCTTATCTTTTCTTTATCCTTATACAATCCCTTTTATTTATAATTATTTATAAATAGAAAGATTATCGGTATTGAGCCCTCTTTTGAATTCATGCTGTGAGAGTTAGAATTTATTATTTTCGTTCTCATTACATTCGCGTATATATATATATATATATATATATATATATGAAGAAAAATTTGGAAAAAACAAACAAAAATCCTTAAATGCAATTATGTTGTTTAAAATGAATGAAATGTCGACGTCTGACGTTTCCGTTTAATAAACCTTTTTCAAGACAATATTCATTAAAATACAATTCAGTTCAATTTGACAAAGACGATGGACATAGACAACAAGTCTTATCCAAAACAGATAACTGAAAATTTTTAAAATGATCAGCTTTCCGTTTAGCATGGTCACGTTGTCATCACATGGGCGACGCTTTCAAAACGTATTCCTAAAAATTTTTGATTATTTTGAATGAAAAAGAAAATGAAAAGAATTCTATTAGGATCTAAAATTTTTATGTGTATGCTTGTGGAGCATTAATCTCGCTAAAAAAGGGGAAATATTAAAGAAACCAGGTCTAGTATTCACCGTGCGTGAGATGGATATTATACCTGCTTCATAAATCCTCCTGGGACTTTTATTATGAAAATATTTTAATACCTTCACGGATCGAAATGATTTTGTAATGATTTTTTGTTTGTTTTTTCCAAATTATTCTTCATTCTGTCGGATCTATATCCATTTACATTTGCTTACATATATATATATATATATACAATTTGTAGGTCTGATGAATTGGATCGTAATTACAATTCGAATGTAATAAATTATAACCATGGAATATTTCAACTCTTTTTATTATTGTTATTATTATTATTATTATTATTATTATTATTATTATTATATATATATATATATATATATATCAAAGTGTAGGAGAAGGAACAGTAGGATTACAGCGTTCAAAATCTTTTCACAGGTTTTTTTTTTTTTTTATCCCAAAATAATTATGAAGGATAAAAAATAAAAAAAAAAATAAAATGATACCTAACATTTTACCCTTTACTTTTACTGTATCTCTCTGAAAATTATTTTTTACTTGAAACACCAACCTAACCAAACTAGGAAATCGTTGAAGTTCAAATTCTCCATCCTAACGAAATTCTATGACAAGATTTTATCTCCTCTTAGCGCTTATCACCTCCTCCTCTTCCTATAGCTTCCTTCTTTCTTTTCCCTTTTTAAAGTTTTCCATTCCTTTTCGTTTGCTCCCGAATACTTAATGAATTAGCTTCCCTTAGATCTCTAGATGTAAATTCTAGAAGACATTTTATGAAAATTTCCAAAGAACGGATGTGGGAGATATTTGCTTCGAAAACTGTATTTCTGAATAAAAAAAATTCATAGCACCGTAATTCCCCGCCTGATGAGACGTTTAAGAAAGGTTTTCCCTTTTTTTGATGTTGAAATGAAAATGTGCAATTTTGTAGTGGATATGTGCCTGTTCTAATGTAACACTGCGTAACGTAAATATAAATATATATATATATATATATATATATATATATATATATATAGATAGATAGATAGATAGATAGATAGATAGATAGATAGATAGATATTAATCCAATTCTAATTATCCGGAACATCGAAAAAATAAATAAGAAATACGAATAAACAAGAACTTTTCGTTGCGATTAAATCAAACGTCTGTAAAAGAAAAATGGCTGCACACTACACTCAATTTAGACTACATGACCAAACAGCTGCGGAAGAAACCTGACACCACAAACTTCAGAAAACTTATTGAAAGACAAATTACTATACGAAACAATGAAAAATTTAACCGAAATATGGAAAAAATAAATTACTAGGGTACTTTTGTCTATATCTCTGAGATGAGGTATTTTGATTATTTGCATTATTTACATTATTTGGACTGTTATCCTCATCTTCATTGCCATATTCACAACGTTTCGGCCGTTGTACGCTCCGGCCTTCTTCAGATGACTGGATCTCTGAGATGAGGTATTATGATTACTTGCATTATTTACATTATTCGGACTGTCATCCTCATCTTCATTGCCATATTCAAAATATTTCGGCCGTTTTACGCTCAGGCCTTCTTCATTTTTTGGATCTCTGATATGAGGTATCATGATTACTTGCATTATGTACATTATTCTGACTGCTATCCTAGTCTTCCTTGCCATATTCACAACCTTTCGGTCGTTGTACGCTTCGGCCTTCTTCAGTTGATTGGATCTCTGAGATGAGGCATTATGATTTGATTTTTTTAAACTCTTATCCTCATCATCATTGCCATATTTACAACGTTTCGGCCGTTGTACGCTCCGGCAGTCTTCAGGTGATTGGAATTTCTAAACAAACCCGCTAGACGAAATAAAGGGTTCGGTTCGAAATTCTAATCACCTCAAGAAGGCCGGATCATACAACGGCCGAAACGTTGTAAATATAGCAATGAAGAATAGGTTGTTTGTTTAATTAATCAATCAATCAGTCAATCACTCAATATATATATATATATATATATATATATATATATATAGTAGTAGGCTATGATAAGTTTTTAGCCACCCTTGATTACAGCAATTTTGGATTGTTTAATAACGTCTCTTTTTCAGACAATACCGTATTAGTATCAAGCTACTTTCATCTATGAACGATAGTTGACTTATATTTGCAATGAAATTTCGCGGAAGAAAGGATATAAGTGAATTTCAACAAGGACAAATAATAGTCTGGCATCAATGTGGCAAGTCAAATAGAGAAATTGCTAGGTTTTTCCTGGTTAATCATCAAGCGGTAAATAATAGTGTCTAGAAATTTAATGAAGAAGGATATTATCGTGTGGAACAACATTCAGGAAGACCAAGCATCGTGTCTGAGCGAACGAAAAGGCCACTGAATAAGGAAATCAGAAACCGTCGTCAGCGCGTCAAAGATGTCGCTAACAGCATG